TGAATACTAGGCATAATAAAATTAAAAGCTTTTAAAGTCTTAGAAATTTTAAGTAAAAAACTAACGGTTAGAACGGAATCTCCCATATATTAAACCTCTTGTAGACCAGCCTATGATGTAAAGAATATCTGTATAACATTAAACTATTATGTAACTGGGTACAAAAAACAAATTTTTATTTGGTTACAAAAATATTGAACAATTTACTTTGTACACATTTTTTCATGTACTCCAAATTGTAAATGTTTCAAATTGTTATTGTCTTCAGAAAATGCCTAGCAATTGAATTATTCTATTTTTACACGCAAAAAAAATCTCCTTTTTAGAAAAGAAACGAACAAATACCGGAGATACTTACAAATCTGAAAATAAATTAAACTTAAAATCACACATGCTTTGGGAGTGATATGGCATTAATGGGTTAAAAGTTACTTTCCGCTATTAAGTGCAAACTGCGTTGAACCAGCCGAAGGAATGGAAAATTACCAATGGAAATTACGTTTGTGAATGAATTTTACACGTTTTTTTGTCGTTATGAAATACGCTTATACATTTGATCATGTCAAATTAGGTATCGCATTAATAAATAAATCAATATTTTTTCAAAACTACTAACGGGTTTGCTGTTGTTTTCAAATGATGCAAAACCGCAACAAATGAAATTATTTTAAGCAGACACTGACATTTAGTTACGCGTTTTATAGTTGGGGTTCAAAAATGTTAACAAGGTTTCAGCGAGGTATTACGTTAAAAAATGACACGATTTGGATTGTTACGCTCGGGTAATTAATTGAAAAATAAAGACGCGCTTGAAAAATTTCTAATTAAACTTTTTCGGGGAACGTTCTCATTTTTTTGCCGTAACTGGGACTTAGTTTTGATCTTTGAATTGACAAAATAGTGCAAGAAGAACACACCCATTTTGTGTTTGCATTTCATTTGTTCTAGGTAGATTAAATTCACCGTAAAACTATATTATGCAATAAATCTGTCTAACGAAATCATCTGTCATATTTGAATAAAAAAAAAATCCACTATTAATTTTTAACGCGACATTTGTTTGCAGGTCTTGTAAAAATGTCAGAGGTCAAGGAAGCTGCCATTGGGAGGACAGCGAAGTGAATCTTGAGTCGATTTCTTAATAATGATTGACCAGAAAGGAAGGAACGACATGACAAAATGAAAGTGTTTAGGAATGGTGATCCAGAGTGAATTCACAGGGAAGCGTATGCGATGCACGAGAGTAAGCAGAATTCGTCACTTGAATCATTGCAACAGAAAATAAAATAAATTGGTCTAATTACTGCTAATTACTATTGGTGGAATGAAGAGAGAAATATTTAACTAAAATTCATCCATTTATATTGGAAAAACCAAGTATACAAGGCGCGATTCTTGGGTCCATTCAAAAAAGAAAACTTCATATGAACATATGTCCTAAACATTTTAACTTTTAAGATGCAGAAATATTTACTATATATACAACTAACGATACAGCACTTTCCTTGATAAGTATACAATCTGTCCCAGATTCGCTTCTCTATACAGCGACCCTCGCTCCTATCATATCTACAGCAAAGGTTCAATGGGGAAATTTTTAGAGGAAAGTCAGTGATAACCGGCTTCAGATATATCTAAGATCGGTCTGGGAAATATCGGCGAAAAACCGAAAATAGCCAGTAAATGCAAAACAGCTAATTTGGCAGCTGTCAAAATGGGCCATTATTCAGACACTTTTTTAAGACGAGTAAGATGACGTGTATAACATGTCTCAATCGTCTTTTGTTATCTCGCAACCATCTTACTTTTATATTCTTACGGCCGCCATATTGGATATTTGGATATTAATGCCTCACAAGTGCACAAAAGATTTTATCACACTAAATAGTGTATTAATTATTTTATAAGCAGGTCATAGTTAGGTTAGGGGTAGAATTAAAGAATTAGTTAAATTAAAAATTTACTACAGTTTACTCTTTATTAATTAAGACAAACTGTGATTTATTAAATGACGATGAAATCTCTAATGGCACATAGACATGAGGTGGCCAAGCCGTGGTACTTTTTTAAAAAGATTTCGTATTCTGTTATCAGAAATAAAAAAATTTCTACAAATGAAAAGAGAGCAAATCACTCATGGTTCGTGAAAGCAGCTTTTCTCTGCGATATCACTGTAAAACTTAACGACTTAAACCTAAATCTACAAGGAAAGAATAAATGGTTAAGAGACTTGATAACTGTGATTAAAACATTCAAAGAAACGATAAAAAGTATGCAAATGAAAAACTTCAGAAACATGGAAGAAGAGTGCATCTATAATGCAAACCGAGACTTCGAAGATTTCGCTGAAAATTTGAATGTTTTGTCTGAAGAATTTGAAAGAAGATTCGCCGACTTGATTAGGTTGACAGAAATACTCAATTTTATGATGTTTTCAATTAATTAAAATGTCAACATTGATGGAGTATTTGAAAAAATAAACAAATTATTTTCGGAAATTAATTTCTTAGCAAACGTTGCCAAATATTTTCAAATTGATTTTGAATTTGAAATCATACTTTGGATCGATGTATCTTTGCGAATCTGCTTTTTCAAACCATGAACCCCAGAAAAACCAAACATCGGTCGCGTTTAACAGATGAACATTTATTTTCGTGTTTACGCGTTGCAATAAGCTCGTGTCATCCAGAATATGATAAACATGACGGCGATAAATTTTTCATATCTGAATACTTCGATGATTTTTGTCAGTACATTTTTACTTGTTAAAGATTAATATTAAGTTTATATAGAAAAATTAGATAATTTAGAATTTTTTGTTACATAAAATAAAGATTTAAATGCGGAGTAGACCACAGATATTTCGGCGATGAGAAAAATGAATGTCATATACATTATCCTACTCGTCTCAAAAGCATCTCAATTTAATCGTTTTGGATTTACTGACGACCGCCAGCTGGTTATCAAATGCACCAAGTTTCCTCTAAAACTTTCCCCATTTAACCTTTGTTGTTGGTATAATAGGAGCGGAGATCCAAGGATACAGAAGCGATTCTGGGACACATTTTATGCTTATCAAGCAAAGTACTGTAAATTTAATTAATCAACTGGCAAAGTATTATAATAAAAACTGCATTATATCGAAACTAAAACATGATATTTTGATAGGGTAAAATTTAAAATTCGAGGTGTGTTCAAAAAGTAAGGTGACTTTTAAGTTTTATCACAAAGTATTTATTTATCAAAATTAATGTTGCCCGCTTCAAAATAATCCCGCCAGATAGAATACATTGGTGCCAACGTTTTTTTCAATCTTTAAAGCACTTCTGGTATAGCCTTGAGTTCTTCCAGCGATACTTTCTTTATCTCCGTAGTTATTCCAAACCTTCTTAGGCACAGGCAACCACGAGTGAATTGTTGTGTATTGCTTCTCGCAAACGGCGCATAACTTTAGGGTAATACTCTTTATTGACCGTACGATCTTGTGGTAAGAACTCTTGATATACTACGCCACAATAATCAAAGAAAAAGTAAGCAAAATCTTGACATTTGACGTGCTTTTTTCGGTCTTGGCTTTGGGCTTCTGGATTTTCCATTGGGACGACTGGGTTTTGGCTTCGACCTCATAACCATGATTCGTCACCAGTTATGACCTTTTTGAGCAAATCATCATTGACGTCGTTTAACAGATGCTCCTTCGACATTCTTTTGTTCAAAATTAAGCAGTTTCGGAACAGATTTTATTGCTACACGTTTTTTGCCCAAAACTTCGAGAAAAATTGCATGGCACGAGCCAATAGAGATGCTGACGTCTTCAGCCACTTCTGTAATAGTGATTAAATGCTTTTTCATCACCATTTGTTTCACTTCTTCAACGCTTCCATCAGTTATTGACATGCTGAGGCGTCGAGAGAGAGGTTCGTCATCGGTTTTTTTTCGGCCATCTAGGAACAGCTTGTACCAGTTATAAACATTTTTTTGCTCAAAGCAAATTCACCATATGCCGTTGTCAGCATTTCAAGTGTTTTTTAGCACTGTATTCCATTTTTTACACAAAATTTTATGCAAATTCTTTGTTCCATTTTTTTTTGTCAGCAGAATATCGCACAGCACACAAAGCAGGTCCAAGGCTTCTGTCTCATAAAAAACAAAAACGTGCAACGGCTAAAACTGTGAATGTATATTAAGGACATGTGTACCAACATAGCAAAAAAAAATCAAATATTGTATGTACCCGTAGTCGGCCCAATTACAAAAGTCACTTTACTTTTTGAACACACCTAGTACGTCGGCTGCAGTTAAGTTATATAATAATAATAGTATAATTTTTAGGTGTTGCTTAAACCTAAGATTACTATTGATTGCTATTCCTAAGGTTTTCGTATGGTCAACTAAACCAATTTTAGAATTGCCTATAGAGATTTAAACGTTGCTTTTAAGGAAATCCTCATTATTCTTGTCCACAAAAATCATAAAATGAGTTGTTCCAGGATTAACTTTCAATTTGTGTTTTTTAGAAACAACAGTATTTATAAATCCTCATTGATAAATTTAATAGCCTCGAAAAATCTTCCGTATCAAAAAAAAAATCAACAAATAAATTTCTATATTTTACATTATCGCAGTCGAAAACGACAAAGAGTCTTGAGACTTAAAAAAGTGTCACATTTTGCCAGCTGTCAATTTAACCGTTCTAGATTAACTTTTTCCATTTCATCTTCGCTGTAAGAGCGGAGATCCCTTTATTGAGAAGCGAATTTGAGACACATTGTATAATTGATACCTAATATGCAGTGTCCTTGCTGCTGCAGCAAACAAAGCTGTGCCAGCAATAAACACCTGTGTTTTGATTGATTAATTTTAAATTGTATTCCCTTTGATTAATAAAGTCGCATTACTATTATTATTGTTATTATTATTATTATTATTATTATTATGTCCTGACGTTTGGAGTGCCTTGAAAATGAAAAGTCTCGTCCGAAACTCATCCGCCAACTCACCGTGACTCTGAACATGGTGAGGACCTCAAAGTACCCCTTGACGTTGTCGTTAACTATGACGCAAGGCGGCGACGCGACGTTTCTCAGTGCCCTCATCGAGATCAGAGCCACTAACCCCACGGAAGTCATTACCGTCAGGTTCTTGATGTCGCTGTTGGTTTGCACGCTCAAAATATCCCACGGTCCGCGCCAACCGTTCACGCAAACAAACGCGAAACACACAGTGTACGTTCTGCTCACCACGTAAAACAGGATCCGATTCCTGTTGGGATGAAAACGCGCTTCGAGCACCGTCTGAAACGTGAGAAAGAAGAGATGCCCGATCGTCCCTATTACGATCGAAACGGTCGAACTCAGCAATTTGTCGCTGGGAAAGACGTAGATGTCCATGAGGGTCCAAACGCTACGCCAGTAACCGACAACGCATGGGCACACCACCAAGGAGGAGAACAGAAGATCCAAGACGGTGATCAGCGTGTAGTAAGTGGTGTTACTGCCCTGCCAGGTTTCTGGCAGACCGGCTGTGCTACCACGCATTCTCGTTGCTGTTTCGTTGAGCAAATTTGCACATCGCCGCCGCCCCCGCGTCTCGGTCGAAGTATTCACGACGGTTTTAAAGGATTTGTTTTCAGGAACTAAATCGACTGGTTCGCGAGATCGGCGATCGTGGCCGTGCGGGTGCCCCAGGTGGGGCGGTGGTCACGTGAACGCCACTGCTTTATTCAATTTAGTCCTAATGGGCGCTCTTTAAGCGCGTCACGAAATGCTGGTTACGCTAATACAGGGTGTGCTGCGCTGCACCGTCGGTGCATCTTTTACGTACTACCGCCATAAGCGAAACCCCGGTAATTGTACAAAGTTCGAAACAGCGATATTAAGGGGGTTAAAGTAAATTACTAAGGTACCAATATGATTTTTTTTATCAATTTAAGGAAAAGGCTTGTAAAATAATTTCTACTTCCTTCTGTAAAATACCTAAATATACACTGGTCTAGCGTGCCGGAAGTGTCACTTTACCACGTGACTTTATTGTCCTGGGGGCAACACCACAACACCGAATGTTCAAAGTATCGAAAATCCCGAACGATCTTCGGTTTCGTTTCTTTTCGCGACGAGTGTCAAATAGAAAAGAACAAATATAATATAACTGTTTCGTTTAAATGGCGTGAGTTTTATATCGAAATAAGGGGACTTTGTAATTTGACAGTCGATACAGGTATAATCCGAATACGAATTAGCAAAATGTTGATTGTTTGAAAGGACAGGACGTACAGGACGTTAATTTTATCGAAGGGCATTGCAACCCACATTTACACGAATATTTGTGACTATTTTTTTGAATATTTTCGTCAAGTTAGTGCCTTTGTACTTGAAAATGTCCTGATCCTATAGGTGAATATATCTGCCCTTTCAGTCTCAATACAATCCCAAAGTTTTGTGTGGATGTTCTACTAGAGTCAGAGTTTGTAATTCTGCCTTGGGCCTTACTCCAAATTGTTTCAAGAATTCTTTCTTGTTCGCATTGAACTTTCTGATCTCAAATCCACCAAATTCTAAAACCTTAAGGACGCCTTGACGTATATGAATTACCTCTTCAATCGACGAATCTCCTAATATCAAATCATAAACGTACACGTTCTTGCCAATCACCTTTGAAATCTCTGGTTGTTCGTAATTTTGAGCCAGTTCCTGCCGCTAAAAATGGACTTGAGGTTAATCCAAAAGTCACAGTGTTTAAATTGTAGATCTTCACTTCTTCACTTTTTCCCTCCAAAATATCCTTTGTAGATGACATTGCTCTTCCGTGGGTACTTTTTGGTGATATCTGGGCAAAAAGCTACGGGTTGTCTAAACCTCAACAGAATTGAAATTGAATTCTTGGCCCCGAAAATTGCAAATCGTTGACTTGTGAAGAAAATTTCATCATTCAAAGCCTTAAGATAGCTCAGGAACAAGATGAATTTGTGAACGTAAAAGACGTGGGTAACGCGGAAAACCGTACCGCTTACTCTTTTTCTTTAATAAGACGAAAGACGGGTAGGTGAATTGTTGTTGTCCATGCCAAGTGTAAAAGAAGTTATTGTTGTGCGCTGTGTAAGTTTAAGTGAAAATATAGTCTTATATTTTATATTTATAATTTGTTTTGAATTAGTATGGTCATTTAATTTCACCAGAACCATATAACATCCACAAAACATTAATCTGTCTGGAGATGCAGCTAGTTGAGGCCATTTTTCACTTAATAAACATCAATGCCGTTTCTTCTAGTAGTACCCACATATAAAACAAAGTCAGATGCAAAGTACTTATAAGCTTACTAACTCTTAACTTATCTGATCCTTAGTATAACAGCTATGGGAAAACACCAAATTGGTGAGTGGTGAAATTAAGTAACCAAAAATAAATGGATCTAAAGCTTGTACTAATTGTAGCTTCATCTGATATTTACAAAAAAAACATTCCATGAGGTAAATAACATCAACTATTTTACATCTTTTTCAATCCATTTCCAAATAATTAACACAAAATAAGATGTTGCAAGATTCGAATACTTAAAAACTCACCACCACTCAGATTTTCTACCTGACCTACTCTACAATTGTTTGCCCTAGAGGGCCATATTTGATCACGTGATTTGGATTGCTTAATACTCGGCAAAACTAACCTTAGTATTCTGTTATACCGGCTCCTAACTAAGGAATTTTATATAGTTGTTTAAAAAGAGTTTGCGATTTTAAAAAAAGGAAGAAAAACTACTTCTTGTTGTAAGCGTTTTCAAGCAAGCTACTGATTCTAATTCTAGTTTCGAAAGGGCGCACAATAGATCCTCTGGTTTACAATTGCCAACAGGCTAAAATTTAACTGGAATGAATCTTGAATTGCTTATACTATATTTAAATTAATTTGATTTGCTTGTTTTATACAAATTGTTGCTCCCTCTTCCGGCAGAATTTAACTTCTTTTATGTAATTAAAGGTAAAGTCTGTTCATAGATATAAAAAAGTGACCAATTGCTTTTGAATGGGATTACTAAAGGGTGGTCATTACCATACAATGCAACAAGATTATTACCTAAAGTTTCGGTATTTAAATTCAGGTAAAATTGTGGTCCGTAAAAGAAAATAATTTTATACCTATCTATTATTATCTTGATTCGGGTTTAAAGGCCGTCGTCGGTTGGAATTACTTCCTAACGTTTCGCTAGCACGAGTGGCGAGCTTCTTCAGAGGTCCTTCCATCTCCGATGTTAGACGTAGACTGACGATTTCTCCTGCGCAGGTTGTATTTATGCCGATTGGTGGTGGGCGGGGCTTGTTCCGGTTCGGTTGGTCTCGGGATATTGATCGGTACTGCTCGGGTGTTCCTAAGGATCGGGTTCCAGATTTGCTTTATGCTCCTTAAGTCTCGTTCCCATTGATCTCTTGGTAGTTCCGATGTAGACCTTTCCGCATGAACACGGAATGCGGCAGACTCCTGCAGCTGAAAGTGAGTCCCTCTTGTCCTTCGCTGACCTGATGGTCTGCTGGATCTTCTTTGTAGGCTTAAAGATTGTTTTGATGTCGTGTCTTTTCAATACTCTGCCAATCCTGTCGGTGACACTCGGAATATACGGCAGATATGCGTGGGAGGTGGAGGGTCGTTGTTCGGTATCCCGTGATCTTGATGATCTTGAGTTCATTGATCTCTCGATCTCCCTGTTGCTGTAGCCATTTGCCTCGAACGCAGTTTTCAGGTGTTCAAGTTCCATCTGGAGGTTCTCCGGTTCGCAAATCCTTCGGGCTCGTTCTGTCAGGGTTCTGATAACCCCACACTTTTGACTTGGGTGATGGTTGGATAGAGCATGCAGGTATCTGTAAGTATGGGTTGGTTTTCTGTACACTGTGTGGCCCAGCTTGTTACCTCGCTTCCTCACTAGTACGTCTAAGAATGCAAGTTGTTGGTCATTTTCAGTCTCCATAGTAAACTGGATGCTGGGATCCTGACTGTTGAGATGCTGCAGAAAGTTGTTGAGCTTGTCCATACCATGTTTCCAAATCACGAAGGTGTCATCCACGTACCGGAACCACGTTGCTGGCTTGTACTCTGAGGTCTCGATCGCTTTTTCCTCAAAGTGTTCCATAAATAAGTTGGCTATAACCGGACTTAATGGACTTCCCATTGCCACTCCGTCCACCTGTCCGTAGAAGTTTCCCTTCCACAGAAAATAGCTACCGGTCAGACATACTTCAAAAAGTTTGCAAATATCGACAGGAAATTTCCTGTTCACCAGGTCCAAGCAACTCTTCAGAGGTACTTTGGTAAACAGTGAGACAACGTCGAAGCTCACAAGGATGTCGTTTTGTTCAATATTGATATCTTGAATCTTGCGTACGAAGTCGGTGCAGTCCTTGATGTAACTGGTGACGTGTCCTACGTGTGGTTGGAGCAGCGATGCCAAGTGTTTAGCCAAGTAATACGTTGGTGATCCGGGTGCGCTAACTATTGGTCTTAACGGGACATCTACTTTGTATATCTTAGGTAGTCCATAGAGCCTTGGTGGAACAGTCTCCGTCCTCAAAATGCGCTTCTTGATTTCTTCTGACAGTGATGATGACTTGGTGAGCCGGTTGGTAAGACGTAGTCTAGCTTGCGTCGGATCCTTTTTCAGGGGTTTGTAGCTTCCCGGATCCAAGAGTTCCTCAATCTTCCTTTCGTAGTCCTCGGTCTTCAGAAGAACGGTTGCGTTTCCTTTGTCTGCTGGGAGTATGATGATACCCTCATCCGTGTTCAGGCTACGCAGTGCCAGCCCTCCACTTCTCGTCAGGTTAAACTTGGGTGGTTTTGCCTTCCTGAGGATGTTGGCTATCTCGATTCGTATCTCTTCGGCATCTTGGTCCGGTAGGTTCTTGATGGCTGCTTCCGTGCTGGAGATGATCTCTTCAATCGGAATGTGACGGGGAGTGATTGCGAAGTTCCCTCCTTTGGTTAGCACTGTTCTCTCGACCTCCGTGAGTACTCTGTCCGTCAAATTGACCACGAGTGGCTCACTGTCTGGGCTTGCTGTTTTGGGCGCTTGTTTTTTCGCAAACTTCTCGTACTTCCTTATCTGTTGCTCCTTTGTGCGGTCCAGTTCGTTCCTCATGTTGGAATGTGAGATTGCATCCATTCTCTCCCAATTCTGTTGTTCGATCTTGTTGCCCAGTGTCAAGTGCAGGGCAAGAAGTTCCTCGTCCGTCTTCGCAAGGCTACGACGAGTGTGGTGAATTCGTTCCCGGAGAAAAGCTTTCTCAGTCCTGACGTAGATCCTGTTTGCCTTCGCTGATCGGAGAATTCGTTTCTGTCTAAGGAATGCTGGTATGATGTTGGTGTCCCGGCAGCGGCACAGAAACGCTAAAGTGGCGAGTAAGTGCGCCTTTTGCTTCCTTATTTTGTCCAGTCGTTGATACTGTCCAACATCGGAGATGGAAGGACCTCTGAAGAAGCTCGCCACTCATGCTAGCGAAACGTTAGGAAGTAATTCCAACCGACGACGGCCTTTAAACCCGAATCAAGATAATAGCTTATCAACGGGCCGCGAAAGCCTTAACAAATTTATCATACCTATCTGTGTTTAATATTCTTTGGTTTGGTATACTATCTCAGGAGATGCTCCCGCCCAAATTTAGAAAACACTATTCTATTGAGACT